TATATATATGTGTGTGTGTGTGTGTGTGTGTGTGTGTGTGTGTGTGTGTGTGTGTGTGTGGAGGGTGTCGTTCAAGGGAGAATTCAGTATTTTATGAGAACCTGATATTCAATCTCAAACACAAATCAAAGAATAAATTAGGAAATTAACAATTTTGACTTAAAATTGTAATTAAAGAACATTAGGTGTTTTAGAAATTTTATCTCTCCTCTCCCCTCTGGCTTGAACATTCTATTGTGATACTCATTATATACACTTTGTGATGCATACATTAGGATTATTCTCTCTGTATATACCCACAGATACCTGTTGATACCCACTGTGATCACAATGATGGATTTGTGAAGTGGGGATAATCACCAGAGCAATATATGAGTTTAAAGATATACGTTTCAATATACGAGATAACACAGTGTGGTTACTATAACTCTGTAAATCCACTCGATTAACATAGGGGTTTCAAGATATGGGATAACACGTTGTGATCACTGTAGCTCCACCGTAATCCCACGTAAACCCATTCGGTTAACATATGAGTTTCAAGATATGAGATAACATACTGTGATAACACACTCAATCAATTGTGAAAACTTCACCGTAAACCTATGGGCAGAAAATGATTTAACTATTGTCATCAATTGGAATTTTGCGGAATAGGTGAAGATGGAGAGAGACTTGAGGAAACGACAATTGGGATCTGGTATTGAAGGAGAAAGAAGATGGTGAAGGAGTCCGATATGGGGTGGTTGTAAAATAGTTGGGAGAGAGGCGAAAGGAGAACGGAGAGAAAATAAAGGGAGGATTTTTAGGGATTTATTATTATGTTATGAGAAAATTGAGGGAAGAAATTCGTATGACTAAATTACCCTTTTTACCTTGTTTAAGAAATATAATTATCTCAAATGAGTGGCTCAYATTGGATCTCATGATCACAAATTATGAAGTTCTTATTTGATTAGACCCTTATATATATATGTTCAATTCTTTTTTACTAACTTTTCAAAAATTCAATCACGAGTAGATTCATATGTGTATATATTCATACTAATATTTTTAATATATTATAAGACGTTTATTTCATTCTTAGAAGGGAGTTGCTATTCATACTCCCTATAGGAATAGGTATGCATAGAATTCATCTTCTTAGAATATCTTAAAGTTCAAGTTTACAACTTATTGTTACATGCATAACTTCTTAAAACTCTTTAAAACTAAATAATACACACATTCATATACGTTGAGTCATACTTACACGACATTATATATATATATATATATATATATGTCTAATCAAATGAGAACTAGTTTTTAAATAAAATATAAACTTAAGGCAACTAGAAGTACTTAAAAAATACTTGTCAAAAGAGAGAAATAAATTTTTATAATTTCTATTAATAAAAATCATTGAAATTAACAGTTTATTAATGATATTTCTTGTCTATGTTTTTCAAACTGATTAGTTCTAAACACACCTGTCAAAGTGTAGTGGACTCATAAATGAGCCACTTTGCAGACATCAACTTGGATGATATGGGTTATATATTACAGAGAGTGATTTTAAACAAAGAGATTTGTTAATTCATATTTTAAAGCCATCATTCGACACTATTTATGGTCCTAACACTACATAGAAATTTGTTGGTTTAAAGCCAAAGGTTAGTGCAATAGTTAAAGTCTGAGAAGACGTTCCAGGGTTAGCGCTTATCAAGCATCACTTATCTTATCGAGTGAGCTTATTAATAACCAAGAATCTTACCCGATAAGAGACATGATAAGGACCAAGAGTCTTACCCGACAAGTGAAGAAAAAGATTCTTACACCGTAAGCGCTTAATAGATAAAAGATGCATACCAACATTTCATTTTGATGACAAAAATGTTAATCGACAAAGTAAGTAAAGGAGAATTTGCATCAAAATAGAACCAACTTTCATATAACAACTCAAAAATCAGTTATTATCTTGTGGCGATGGAATTTGTATCCCCGATTAGTGAGAATTTTAGTTGGTCACTTTTTATTATATTAATTTTTTATTGCATTAATTAAAAAAAAACAAAATTTTAGTTTGATATTTGGATTTTTTTTTTGAAAAAAATCTTTAATTAATATTTTAATTTTCTTTTTTAAAAACACATGGGGAACACAAAAATAATTTATATAATTGATTTTTATTTTAAAATATGATGTGGAATTTTAGTTTTGAGGTCAAAAAAAAATTATGTGTCATTTTCAATATGTGTTACATGTGTATACCATTTAGGGTCAACAATTTGATAACAACCAACGAATTTTTTATATTTTTGACCCTCAAACGGTATACACACGTAATACCCATCCGTACCTTAAATGGAGAAATCGTGAAGATAATTATTTTTTTATCAGTAATTATTGAAAAATATTAACATTCATTGGAGAGTAGCATTGTCAAACTTGACATGATTTCATATTGTGTTAAAGGTTGTGATGGTAGATTGTGTTTAGGGGTTAATGTTTGTGACTTTGTGAGAATAGAAATGTTTGATTTTATAGAGAAAAATACAACATTTATATATATGCTACATTTTGTCTTAAAACAGACAAATCAGTCAATATCATCCCTCATTTATTGAAAAACACCTCTTAATTGTCAAATCAACGTGTCATATGATTGCCTCACTAGAGGACAAAATAGCAGTCAAAATCCCCCCAGGTATAATATCTGATTTCTGTCCTCCAAATCAGATACATGTGAGACCTATCCGTACCATTATGGTCAAAATCTGCACCATAATCAAATTGGGACCCGAAGGTGATTTGAGTGATCATTTTGTTAAAAGTGTATGAAAAATGGTTATTTCATTAATATAAAATGTATAAATCAGTTAATTTATCCATTCAAACTCGTATTTTAAAATATATTTTATAGAATAAATGAGAACCAATGAATATCTCAACGGGGTCCTTAACAACCCTTTATGCTATGTAACAACTACTATGACATACAGGTCAAATCATGCAGCTCTTTTAACCACTTATTTAAAGTGTGTTTCACGTTATCGAATTGTGGTTGAAAGAAATCAGTTTTGATAAACTTAGTGGTCACAATTGTTGTGTACCCTTGAAATTGAATCCTGGATAAATGGGGTATTCTACCACATCCCTTAGGATCTCAACCACTACACCACATCCTTTTTCATTTTGATGGTCGAAAATGTTATCCGGCAAAGTAAGTGAAGGTGGTGACTCTTGCAGCTAAGCGCTTTACCCGGTAAGCATCTAGTAAAAAAAAATTGCATCAAAATGGAACCAGCTTTCATATAATTCATATTTTGAGGAACCAACTTTAAAATCATAAATTAAGAGTCCGGATCAAACTTTTGTTTATTTAAGGGGTTTGGTAATTATAACTTAAAATATTAATTAAAAGTATTTTAGAGATTTTAAAAATCTCCTCTTTTCTCTCTCCTGTCTCTTCTCTACTCTCTCCGGCGAAATTTATTCCGACAAACCTTATTCCGGCGAACTTTATATGAACATAATATACGTATTGTGATACCTTAAAAAACATCGTTAAAAAATAGATACATGCAAACAATATTCACAGTGATACCCATATATACATACAAGATTCGCACTGTGATACCTTTGAAAAATAACAAAAAATGCATATTGTGATACTCTTCGTAAAGCAACGGAAATAACGAAAATGCATTTTGCGATACACTTTATAAAACAACGATAACTAATTGTGAACATTATTACTCAGATACAATTTGATTCACAAATATCTTTAAAAAAACAATATATATATATATATATATATATATATATATATATATTAGATAATTATTAAATATTTTCTTTCAAAAAAAAATTAAATCTTTTGATGAGTTATTGCCTTATTTAAGAATATCTCAAATGAATGGTTCATATTGGATCTCACGGTTATCACAAAATAAATAGTTCTTAGTTCTTATTTGATTAGGCTATATATAGGGGCCCATTCAAGAGAGAACTGATTAGTTTGTGGTAACTATGAGATCGAATCTCAATCTTAAATCAACGGATAAATTAGGAAATTAATAATTATGGTAGTTTGAGTTAAAATTATAATTAGAAGGCATTTTAGGAAATCAAAATTATGTAAACGTTAATGTCTAGGACCTGCCCACCTATCCAGGTTACCTCACCCGTGAACTACGAACTAGCTTAATATTTGAGAACCCCGTTTATTATCATATTGTGGGAACTGTGAAAACTATGATCACAAGGCATCGTTTCACATGATTTTTTTTCATCTAATGCTAGAGTTTAGTATATTGATTAACTTAATGTGTTTATTTCATTTGTATTCGGTTCACAATGTGAAACTTTTTAATTGCATTTTTTTGAACACATAAAAAATGTTTGGATTGTGAAACAAATATATGTGAATCAACACACTAAATGAAAAAAATACTGTAAATAAGACATTATGCACCAATTTTTAAAGTTATCATTTTAAGGGTACAACTAGTCGGTTTTGTTGAAACTAATAAAATAATTTATTACATATTTTAAATTAATAAAATATTTTATATTTAAAAAAAAAGAAAATAAATATATTTCATAGAATAATTGAGAACCAATGATATCTCGATGGGGTCCTTAACAATCCTTTGTACTACGTGACTATTCCTATGACATACAAGTCAAAATCATGTAGCGTTTTTAACATGTTTTTTTTCCTGGTGTTTCTGATTTTATTTGAACTAATTTCAGTAAATTAAGGTTGGAAGAAATCAGTTTTGATAGACTCAGTGGTCATAATTATTGTGTGTTTCTGAAATCGAACGGTGGGCAATTGAGATATTTCATCACGTCTCCCAGGACCTCAACCACTATGTCACAACTCTTGTTGTTATTTTTAACGTTTATTGTGTGAAAAATGTGACATGTAGACCCTCTATAAATATTCATGCACTCTCGTTTATGTGATTGTAACTTGAGCATATTACACATATCCAAGTATATCGAAGAACATGGCTGGTAAACAAGAGGAGGTTATTCGTCCCACGGTCAATTTTCCTCGTGGCATCTGGGGAGATCAGTTTCTCATTTATGATAAGGTACGTAAATTATCAGAATTGGTGAAACTAAATGTGTGTGTGTGTGTGTTTACAACTGCTCTAATGAAGATTCATGATTGAATGTAGCAAGATGATGAAGACGAGATGGAGCAGATAGTCGAAGATTTGAAAGAAGAAGTGAAGAAAGATATAATGACAGCTCTAGATGTTCCAGTAGAACATACAAATTTGCTAAAATTGGTTGACGCAGTCCAACGTCTTGGCATAGGCTATTATTTTAAAGAAGAGATTGAGCAAGCTTTGCAACATATCTATGACACATACGGTGATGACTGGACTGGTGGTAGCCCTTCTCTTTGGTTTCGACTCATGCGACAACAGGGCTTCTATGTGTCATGTGGTCAGTATGCATATGAATTGAATATATTAATCTTG